CCAGTCAGGAAATATCTACTACAAATAATAGAATTAAAACATTTTTATTCATTAGTATTGGCAATACACATGATGCATACAGGAGAAAACAATAATTATTGCATAAGACAGAAGTAAAAGTTAGCAATTTTTGTCCACCAACATGTTAGTAGAAAAACAGACCAAGGTATATCCATATAATGGAATACTACTTAAAATTTTAAAAATGAACTATTGATTCTGGCAGCAACAGAGATAAATCTCAAAATAATTATTCTGAGAGTGTCTTAGTCAGCTCTGGCTGCTATAATAAAGTATCATTGAGTGGGTGGCTTAAACAACAGGTATTTATTTCTCATAGTTCTGGAAGCTGGGAAGTCCACAATCAAGGTGCCGCAGGTTAGGTCCCTAGTGAGGACTCTATTTCTGACTTGCAGACAGCTGCCATCTCACTGTGTCCTCAGATGACAGAGAGTCTCTTTTCATCTTCTTACAATAACGCTAATCCCATCATGGGAGCTTCATCCTCATGACTTATCTAAACCTAATTCCCTCCCAAAGGCCCCACCTACAAATGCCATCACGTTACGAGTTAGGTATTTAACATACAAATGTTTTTCTGGGGGGCACAAATATTGAGTTCATAATATTCCAGCCCTTGCCCACAAAATTTATGTCCTTCTCACATGCAAAATACATTTATTCCATCCATCCCAACAGCCCCAAAAGTCTTAACTCATTCCAGCATCAACTGTAAAGTCTAAAGTCCAGTCTCATCTAAATATCATCTAAATTGGATATGAGTAAGACTCAAGGTACAATATATTTTGAGGCAAATTGTTTCCCAGTTGTGAACTTGTGAAACCAGGTAAGTTGTACACTTCCAAAATACATCCCAAAAGGAAGAAATAGGAAGAAAGAAAGGTGTGAAGAGTACCAAGCAAGTCCAAAACTTAGCAAGGCAAAGACCATTAGATCTTAAAGTTCAAGAATAATTCTCCTTGGTTTAATGCTCTGTTATCCAGACTCAGTGAAGTGGCAGCCCCACCCTCACAGCTCTACCTTGAAGGGGTCACATACTCAAGGCTCGAGTGACTGTCACCTAGCCTGTTAAAACTCTGGTGATGGCCCCTCTCTTGAAACTGAAGAGGCAGCCCTGATGATCCCTAAATCACCTATGGGGTCATTCTTCCCTTGTCTTGAAGAATGGTGCAGTTCAAAGCCAAATAGCTCTATGGTCCAGTCCTACAGGATCTAAGAAATCAGACAGCCTTCCTTCATTTAGGCTCATGTCTGTCTTCTTCAGTTCAAACTAGTAGTGTTTCTGCTCATATAATCTCATAATCTCTTTATCAAGTGATAGTCCACCCACACCCTTGGTGTTCTCTTCCAAACATGCTTTCTTATTTTTTTGCAATATAAACAATTTGACACTTTTTCCAAATCTTTAAGTTCTGGTTCCTTTTTGTTTAACAATTCCTTCTTCAATTTATTTCTCTCTTCTTGCATTTTACAATAAGCAGTTAGGTGGAACCAAGCATCTCCTTCAACACTTTGCTTAGAAACTTACTCAGCTAAATATCAAAATTTATTTCTCACAAGTTCAGTGGATTGATGTATACAAGCATTGGAAAATGTGTGACCATTATCTCTTCAAATACTTCTTTTGCCTTATTATCTCTTCTTCTGTACTCTAGTCCTACATCATATGACTGTGTCACATGTGTCTTTTACACTTTGCTCCCTTCTTTATCTTTTTTCTCTCCATTTTTCCAGCTGGTATATTTTGTATAGTTTGTATTGGTATGCCTTTGAGTTTACTAATTCTATCTTCTGCTACGTCCAGGTTGCTATTAAATCTGCATGATATGTTCCTAATTCCAGATATGGTTTTTAGTTCTAGAATGTACCTTTAATTCATTCTAATAGATTCCAAGTCTCTATTCAAATTCTGTATCTTTTCATCCTTTTTGTCCATGTTTTCTTTTCCCTTTAACATTATTATAAGAACATCCTTGTCTGCTAACTCCACCAACTTGGATAATTGGTATGGCTGCTTCTATTTTTTGTTTTACTTTCTTGATTATTAGCCACATTTTTCTGCATCTTTGTATATCTAGCTCAAAATCAGGCAAAGCAGGCCTCCTCTCTACAGGATTTTATCACCTAAGCAAGGCAAGAAAGTGGGAGATTTCACCCCACCTTTTTAGGCAAGCCCAACAATCTCCTGTGGCAATGAAGAACTCAGCACATCTCATGGGGAAGAACTGCCTTGTGTTTGTTCTCTTCTAGTTCTCAATACATAGTGCCATTCTCATGTGATTACCCCAAATTGTGCCAGTTTCTCTTTCTCCCAGTAGGTTCCCTCTTCTCAGGGCAAGTCAAGTTTTCACTCCACATGCAGAATTTCCACATGCTTTAGGGGAAGAAATTACCTAGAAGTAGCTCTCCCAGGAAGAACTCTTTCCTCACTTGGATTTTAATTTTTATGGTTCTCATTGCTTTCATTCACAGATCTCTGATATATTTTTAAATGTCTTTCAATTTATCTTTTTTTAAAATAGTTGGAACAGTGAGAATGTTGGCCTGCCATGGTCTACTACATCTTACTTGGAAGTAGAAGTCCTCTTGTACCTTTTGACATTAATGTCTTATTTTGTTGCATTATGGTCAAAGAACACAGTGAGGTTTCCTTTGTGGCCTGATACATAGTCTACTTCTGTAAATATTCCATGTGTTAGGAAAGAACGTATATTTTGTGTGTCAAGTGTGAAATGCTATACAAGTTTATAGTTTAAACTTATGTAATTATTTATTAAATTTTAGGTTTATAGTATTTTTTTTTTCTTTCTCTGCTTGATCCATGAGGTTCTTAGAGGGTTTTATTAAAATCTCCAGTTACATTTTCTGATGTATTTCCCTGTACTATTTTTAGACCTTTTTATAGGGTGTATTGTTAGGTGTCATATATATTTAGGATGGACATATCTCCTTGTTCAATTATCCCACCAGTATACATTACTCATTTTTCCTTTATGCCTTTTCTTTCTTTTTGGCCTTAAATTTTACTTTGTTATGTATTAAAATTGCTATCCCAGATTGCTTTTGATTTGTATTTTCTTGGTAGACTTCTTGTCATAATTTTATTTAACTTCTGTATACCTTTTCAAATTTTTGTAGATAACATTGGACATTGTGTATATAACTACAAATATAAATTATATAACATTTAAATATAATTAAAATATTAAAAATAAAATATACAGTTTCTCAACTTATGAAGGGGTTACATCCTAATAAACCTATCCCAAAGCCAAAAAATCATTAAGTTAAACCATTGTAAGTTGGGGACTGCCTGTAATTAAAACTCCAAGAGTTGTCTTTTTGTTAGATTAACTCATTTACATTCATTGTAATTACTGCTCTATTAGCCATTACATCTAACATCTTCTGTAGTACTGCATTTTTTGCTGCTTCCCATTACTACAGTCCATAGAATAGTTAAAAAGTTTAAACTTTGTCAGTGCATGTTTTAGTGGGTAAACGATTAGGAAGCGTTCATCTCTCTTTCATACCTCCCTTTCTCCAAATTGTATATTTTCTCTTTCTCTTAGTGTAAACTTGTTATCCACTGGCATTGGTTTGGAAGAGAGGACATGGGCAATGAATACCTGTGGATGTGATGTTCATGGTTCTAGGCTTGGAGAAAATCTGGGCTGGAGGTTTGGAATACACTAGGGTACTTCAAAATTTGTGGAAAAATGGAATTAAGAAATAATACAAACCTTTCCATAACCTTTTTGAAGTACCCTTACATATAGCTGAAACTTCTACTCCATGGAGATTAAGGAAAAAAAAAAAAAAGTGGGAAAGAGATCACTAATATTTAAGTGACAGGCAGAGAAAAAAAATCCTGTAAATTGCAAATGACACTGTGGGCCCACCAAAGGGAATGGTCATAAAAAGTCATATATTAAAAACGTAGACACTATCTACTGTCTAGGTATTAATTTTAGATATCACTATTGGATGGACCTAGATCTGAGTGTGCTAACAGTGTAGCTTCTCTGATTTCACTCCTAAAGGCCAGGCACCTGGCTTGCCAGGGCCCATCAAAAACAGGACCGTGGTCAAAAGGGGGCTTTTTGCAGTTAGAAAGCTTTTTGTAGCCTCTCTCATTTTTAAGTTAGAAAGGAAGGATGGTGGAGAAACTCCATATCCCTGAAATAGCTCCCACTCTACTGCCTGAAACTTTACAAAGTAAGCAATTCACTTGTATTAACCTTTGAGATGGCTAACACGATGCACCCATCATCCATACTTTAGTATGTACTAATTTAATCAGTCTACTTTTTCAATATCTGAAACTAGAGCCATGGAAGAGGAAAAGAACAAAGACTGAGTTTTGACCATGGAAGTCTCTGAGAAAGGACAAACAATAGTTTGTTGTGGGTATTTTATTCAAGGCAGAAACATGAAAGCAGGAGGTTCTTACAGAATATAGAAGGGGTCTTCCAAAAGTTGACGGAAAGATTCATATTATCTTTTTTTTTTTTTTCCTTTGTCTTTTTTCGTGACCGGCAACGGATCGCAACCCTCAGTGTCGCACCCGTACCGGACTGGGACGGGCAACGGGATTGCAACCCTCGGTGTTGTGCCCGCACCTCGCTCAGCCAGTGAGCGGCCAGTCTGTATGTGGGATCCGAACCCTTGGCAGGAGCGCCACCGCGCTCCCAAGCGGCGCACTGTGCCACCGGGCCGGCCCTTCATATTATCTTTTAATTCTATTTTTCCATGACCTTGTAAATGCTACTCGATGGGAAATATGCTACCCATGGACACAGTCACAGAGATACTATTGATGAAGAAAGTGAGTTCCAAAGATCATGAATTTGTCTGAGACCCAGTCTTCAGAGATTTTATCAATATTTTTTCTTATGCTACCCCACCTGATTTCTACCTAGAAATCTCTGTATACACAATATTGTATTTTGTTCATTTTAACACTAAAAGGCAAGTCAGGTGTTTAAAAAGTACCAATTTAATACTGAATACTTAAAAATATGGCACACACAGATACCACAGTAACATAAAATGCATACGATTTTAAACTTTTTTTTATGAACCCTTAACACGGATGGCTGATGGCTTGGATGGGTAAAATTTTGGACAAAGATACCAGACGTTTTTTGGATTTCATTTAAAATACCATTTAGTCATGCAGTTATGAAGTTTTTTAAAAAAATAAATATGACAAATATATGAATTTCTGAAGTATAAATTGACATACAAATCTATACATTTTAATATTTTTCATTGAAGCATCTTTAAAGAAGCATTCTATATGAAGTTGAGAGCTCAAATTAGATGTAATGAAAAGGCATGAGGTTTTATTAGAATTGTGTAATTCACAAACTAAATATTTACATAAAAGTAAACACAAAACTGCAAAACAAAGTTACATTTTTCATTATTTTACTCTTCAAGTCATCAATTTCAGAAACTACTCACTGTAATAATTATAAGATAAAATTCCCAATTCCAAATGTTAATAAGGAAACATATATAGGAGCAATTTGAGAAACCTTCTGAGAAGCAGTGAAGGAGTAATACAACACTGCCCTTTGGGGATTGTCAAAGCTTTTCCAGAATTCCTCGGGCGTAGATTCTTTTATAAAACAGTGAAAATTAAAATTCCTTCCATTCATCAGTGCACAGAAGTGTGCTAGGCTTTTTCCAAACCTACAGATGCTCACAACTCTGAACCATACGTTAGTGAACTGGGTTTAAATGTCCCCACCTCCATTTTCCCAAAAAGGTAGCTCCAGAGGGGAAAAAAAAAATCCATTTCCATTTCTCACTTGAACAGTTTGACTAGGATTTCTATTATAAAAGAAATAATCATACAGATAAGCAGGTTTGATGGAACTTAAGATCTTAAATTTCAAAAAATAAATACTAGTTATCAGAAGAACACATTCCTTAGTGGAACTTTGAGTAGTATTACTAACTTAAAAAAGTTAACACAGGAGAGAGAAAAGCATTTTCCTGAACTAATTTAGAGCAGAGAGTCCTTAACCTTCACTACAAATCAGAATCTCTGAGAGAACTTTAGAGAGCTTTTACAAAAACAGAAGCACGGCTCCACCTGCCAGCAATTAATATTTGTTATAGGGTGGGGTCCATATTAAAAGCACTCCAGACGATCTAACATGAAGTAAGGGTTGAGAACCATTGATACAGGATAATTATTATTACTTGGTGAATTTGCTTTAAACTGTTTAAAATTCAAATATATGAGCACTTACTATATGCTAGGCACTGTTCCAAGTGCTAAAAAGGAAGATAATTCTCTTTTCTATAAAAATCACTGGATAATACTAATATATACCTTTTTATCATTTGAATAGTTATATAACTTTATCAAAATATTACTCAAAATTTTATCATGGTCTCCTGTCACAAAAAGATTTCCTTCTGCTTCCCTGAACTATCCTCCACTTTATAATATAGCATAAGAGATCACACTCAGAGACTTTTCCTCAAGATACATGGAAAGAACATAATAATAATATAGATTTCATTTTTCAAGTCATAGTATATGAGGTATTCTCCACCTTATATCTGGAGTTGCAAAGACATAAAATAAGAACTGAAATTAGATATTGCTTTGATGCTTAACAGAATTTCCTAGATCAGGAATTAATTCCCACTGGTATCAGTGCTTGCTTTAAATTGCCTTAAAGAAAAAAATCTATGACAGATCCTCAGGGAACCTAGTAAGAGTAGGTCTTTAACACATACCATGTTTCTTCTGACCTATTTATAAAATATTTCTTTTAAAAATTACAGGAATATGATTTTTGAAACATATAATTAGAAATCAGTTACCTCAAAGGAACTAAAAAATACATAGTTTTTGAAATATGACATAATTAGAAATTAACTACTATCCCTAGATGATAGCTTGAGCTTTAACATTTTAAATTAAAACCAACTTTATTAGGTATTATAAAACTCATTTGAAATGTAGTTTAATTCAAGAAAATAATTATTTAAATGAATGTGTCATTCGTATCTACTTTTTAACCTAACATATATTTTATATTTAAACTTGCCAAAACCAACTGACAAATTTATTAGTCCTGTATTAGGCTAGTTATCTTCTATAGCTGAACAGGGAGCCAAAAATGATGCAATTTTGAATAAGCCATAATGTATGCACATATAAGAAATCCAACAGCAATATGTTTCCCATACTTGATAGAATTAAAACAGCCTTACAATTTTTATGAAAGCTCAGTAGTCAAAATAAATATTTAATAAAAATATACACCATAACAAGATATTTAGTGTCTTAAAAATAAACTATGTCACACTGTTTTGCCTTCAGTTAAACAGAACTGAATTTAGTGACTTAATATATCTAGCATGATAAAGGTGTGACTTTGGAAACAGAAAATTAAAATTCAAATAAGACCAGAGAGCTAAAACTAAAATGAAGGAGAAATTTACTATGCTATAACTCAAAAGTTTAAAGTTAGGGTTATTGGGACTTCTCAACATGACTATGACCCTCAGAAACATGAATAGTTTGGGAGTGTAAGTCAAAGAATATATCATCCCTATGTGGTTCATGTTGTAATACTCTAAATATGTTTTAAAAAAAATACAGTATATATGAGCACCATAAGAAATGTGTGTGTGTGTGTATGTTTAGTGTGTGTAAAACTTTACCTGCCTAAAAATTGCTTTTTAGAATGAAGTTAAGGACGAGAACGCAATTATGAAAATACTTCCTTAGCTAACATGTCATATGACTTATTAAAAATATTTCATCCAGAATTCCTTCTAAAAATCAAACAAAGAACACGACATAAAGAAAACCAGCATTCTTTTGTAGTGCAAAGTTCCTTGGTTAAACAGAATTACTGAAGAAAAAAGAACGTGTTCTGTAAATGTTTTCAATCCATAGCCAGGTTTTAAGAGGTACAAGAAAAATGAAGTAGACTAATAAATGGGAATTCACAGAATAAACCAGATGTTGCATTTGTTCTCAAGGGGTTATCATTCAAGCTTCAAATTATTTTTAACTGATTAAAAGTAGCAAAGATTATTGTGCCAGAAAAAACTTTTCTTCCATAATAAAAATTGTAAATTTTTCACCTGTAATTGAATATTTCTGTTATATTCACTAAAACTCTGAAAATTTTTACCGTATCTTATATAATACACCTGGGGTAAGACAGGTCTTTAATGAAAACCTTATTTGGATCCTACGTAGAGGCACCTCACGATAGACTATATGTATCCTTGATATTTTTCAAAGCTCCCAAAACAAGCAATCACATGATATAAATTGAAGTTCTTCGATACCATTGTCACTTGATAAAGAATAATGCTATTCACCATTTAAAATACGTTCAATCTCTTCTAGTCTTTTTAAAGCAGCAACTCTTTTCTTCTCAATTTCTTTGATATCTTTTGTTGTCTTGTGGGAGGTCTCTTTTTCTGTATTTTTTCCTAATTGTTTGTTGGATTTAGATGAAGTTTTATCATCACTTGTTTTTATTAACTTTGCTGGTCTGGATTCACTTCTGATTTCCTTTACATTTTCATTTAGAATTTTGTCTCCTTCTTCTACTTCTGAAGTCTTATCAGCTGGGAACATTGGCTGTTCTACAAAACTAGATGAGGAAATTTTATCCCTGACTATACTCAAATGGCGCTGAATATATTCCTCATGTGGTGCTAATGCCAATGTTTCAACCAGGCATCTTTCAGCTTTTAATAAGTCCTTCTCTTCAAAATAAACAACACAAAGATTGTGTTTTCCTTGCACATTAGTTGGATCCATCTCCAAAATCTTTTCAAAACATTTTTTTGCTCCAAGTATATCTTTCTTTTGATTCATCAGAATGTCTCCTTTTAAAATGAGACCCTTGATATGATCAGGGTAGTATCTGAGTAACTCTTCCAAAATTGGCAAAGCCTTTAATTCCTTTGCAGTCTGAGAATACAGGAGAGCCAGATTAAACAAAGCACTTCTAAAGTCCGCTTGTAATTTTATGGCTTTCTTCATCCAAATCTCTGCTTCAGCATCCTTTCTGTCATCCATGGCAAGCATTCCCAAATTGAAATAGCCATTAGCATCTTGTGGCTCTTCATTTACATAGCTTAAAAGTCTTTTTCTAGCTTCAGGTCTGAGTTTAGCCTCACCTAAGAACAGTTTTTTTAAAAGAAAAAAATTATACTGTTAGTAAATGAATTAAGTCTGAGGAACAAAGCCATTTTCAAGTATTTCATTACATCACAGAAAGACAGCATCAAAACAACTAATTTCTGTACCTAGTAAAAAAGCAGAAAGCAAAAACCACAAAGTCTTCACAGGAAAGACAATGTGTTTGAAACACTGAAATGATAGCTCATTTCTTCCTATGAAGCAATAAGAGTGCTTCAGAAACCAAAAGGAGAGAAATACCTCCTTACAGTTTAGGATCTTATTGGAAGTAGCAGAGGAAGAACAGAAAATTAAGAGGAAGAGGCATGGGATTTGCCAACAAAGACATGTATTTAATCTCAATTTTGTTTACATTAAACACTGAACAAGTTACTTAACTTCTCTGGGTTAACTTACTGAATTTTCTAAGAATTTCATAAGATATATGTAAAAATGCTCAGCAAATAGTAACTATTACTGGATAAAATTTTTTTTTCAGAATTACTAAATCAGATTTTTTTGTATGTTACACCTCAAAGTTTTAGAAAGTTTCAATGACAAAATTATACCATTAAATATAAAGCAATAAAAATAGGATTACGGAAATAAATGTTTGAGGTAATTTCTATTACAAATAAATTTTTGTTTTCATATTCTACAGCCACAAACTGTACACTACAATCTTATGTTGGATAATAAGCATCTTTCATGATTATCAATGTTAGATAACCTTACAAAAATATTAGCTTTTCTCCAAATTTTTACTTTTTTGAATATCAGGCATAAAGATCTCCCTCTACTCTTTTATTTGACAGCGTGATAAATAAAGACAATTTGAAAATAAATCAGTAGGCTTCAGTTCTTATCTTGGACTAGCTATGAAAGTGGCCATATGAAGGAGGGGTAATCATAAGATCTATTTGGTCCTCACTCTAATCTCCTAAGTAGAAGACTGGCAAAATTAAACGAAATGTCTTCTTTATCTCTATAATACAATGATTTTATGATTCTTCCATTTTTTTGCAAGAATTTTAAGAAATGTATCTAAGAAAAACTAAAAATTGTAAATAGATTTTTCCAACATAAAAATTTAAAAGACTATATGTCATATACACTGCCCTGAAAGAACTAAAATTCCTACATAAAATATGAGTCAAAAATCAAGACTTATTGTGACTGATAACTATTAGATCTTGTAAATCAAAGAAAAATAAAATGCTATTTTTCTGAAAAATACATACCAGAAGAATTAACAATTAGTATTTTCATAAATGTTAGTGCATGTTACTTGAACAGAGTTTACTTCAAATATTTTAAATATTCTTTATATAAATTATTTATACACAGTTTTGTTATAAACTATTCATCCATAAAATGTTTGCTATGGGAAATGAAGTTTAAGTTAAGGTTTTCTATATTCTAAACTATAATGGTTTAAATGTAGAAATATTCTGAGAAAACATACCTGATTCTTGCATTAATATAGCAGAATTGAATAATGCTAGCTTATGCTTTGGATTGAGTTCTAAAGCATGATTAAAGTTTTTTAGGGCTTCATTTGGTTCTTTAAGTTCAATGTGTACAATTGCCAAGTTGTACCAAAGATCTGCATTATTTCTGTCCAGCTCTAGTGCTTTAAGATATGCTTCCTTTGCTTTGAGAGGTTTATTCATTTTTAAGAGCAATTCTCCTCTGTGGAAAAATCAAACACAGCTTTACTTACAACATTACTATGTCACTTTGTAGATAGAATTTTTGGTGAGTTTTAAGCCTTTGCACACATAGCTTTCTTTTTTTCCTTTTAACTTAGGCTCTTACAACTTCTTTCAGAAATAACTCTTTAAAACTGTTCTCAAATCTGAACTCCTTCTTTCAGCAAATTTTGCTTTATATATATTCAAATATTATTTTATTTTTTATTTTTTGTCCTTTTTGAGACTGGCGGCACCATGCTCAGCCAGTGAGTGCTGTGAGCGCACCGGTCATCCCTATATAGGATCCGAACCCGCAGCAGGAGCGCTGCTGCGCTCCCAGCGCAGCACTCTCCCGAGTGCGCCACTGGCTCGGCCCTATATTCAAATATTATTAAAGAAGAAAATGCATCCTGACTTTAGAGGGTAAGATGTGGGAAGGTATCCCAGAAAGGAAGACATAGAAATACTAGGGGTACTTCAAAAAGTTCAAGGAAATATAGAATTAAAAGATAATATGAATCCTCCTATGAACTTTTTGAAGATCCCTTGCATATTCTTTGAGTATATCTCAAAAAGATGGACTGCACCAGAAAAATGACAGCTAACCAGAATCGGATAACAACGAATTTGTTAGGTGATGAAGTAACAGCATCTGAAGAAGAAAAATATTATAGTAGTGACAGGGAAATTCTAATCTACGATAGAAGTCTCACTGTGCAAAAAAAGAAGAGCATTTGAAATTTATAACTCCTTCTTGTACTGATTTAGTCTTCTTCAATGTATTCTTATAAAATGATCATTAAAAAAAAAAATTAAAAAATTAAAAAGCTGATCAGGTAGGGTTAGAGGGTACTAGCGTCACCTGCAGACAGTTTTGAGAAATACATCCAGAATCAAAGATCAGTTTGAAAACCACTGCATAATCTTTCCAATATGATTCTCTTTTCTGTTAGAGAACTTAAAAGAAGTCATTTTGCTTAAAAAATATTTTGACATAAGTACAAAATACGTTCGAGCGATCTAATGAGAGTTACTCTTGTTATGATACTATTCTTTCCTATAGTATCAGCATAGGAATATAATAAAAGGAACAACTATTAATATCCTCATTAAAGCAATTTCTAGAATGAATATTTGTCCAAAATGTAATTTTTCTTAATGCAGAGATTATTAATTTTTTATGAATTAACACATGACAGTTTTTATTTATAGATACAACCTGCTAAACTTAGTGAATTTCAACAAATAACTGGATAGAGCTGAACTAGTAAGATAATCCCCAATGTAAGAACAGATTTTAATCTCAAAATCTTAAATTTTGAGTGCACTTGCCCATAGAAACTGTGCTATAAACTGTGATTAAGTTTCTGGGCCAGGCTATAAAACAAAGCTTAACATACATTTTTCTTCAAGTATAATACAAACAATAACACATGAAAAAAGCATTTCAAATTTTTTTTTTTGTCTTTTTTATCTTTTTCTGTGTCCGGCAACGGATCGCAACCCTCAGTGTAGCCCCCGTACCGGACCGGGGACCGGCAACGGGATTGCAACCCTCGGTGCTGTTCCCGCGCCTCGCTCAGCCAGTGAGCGGGAACCGGTCTGTATGTGGGATCCGAACCCTCGGGCGGGAGCGCCGCTGCGCTTCCCAAGCGGCGCACTTATCCAGTGCGCCACCGGGCCGGCCCAAGCATTTCAAATTTTAACATGTGATGCCAGAATACCACTGACAACCCAGAGGTTTTGTGACAGATACATCAATAATCATTTAAATCTCAAAATTCATTTAAGAGGCCTGGCCCGGTGGCGCACTGCTACAGTGCGCCACTTGGGAGCGCGGTGGCGCTCCCGCCGAGGGTTCGGATCCCACATACAGACCGGTTCCCGCTCACTGGCTGAGCGAGGTGCGGGCACAACACCGAGGGTTGCGATCCGTTGCCGGACATGAAAAAAGACAAAAAGGAAAAGAAAAAAAAGAAAAAAATTCATTTAAGAAAGCTTCTAAGAGTTGGATATGAAAAATAACTATTATAAAATGTAAGTTTTAGGTGTTTTAAATAGGAAAAAAATGATTTCAGTGATGCAAAGAAAATGAAACTAAGAAGGAGCTTCTTCTACTCTTTCTTTCATGTAAAACCTAAGTTGTCAATTTAACATCACTTATAGTTGATTCTCAGTCTAAAATAAGCTATGCCCCTTCTATGCACTTGGTTGTCCAGTAAGATTACTAAAAGAAAAGCATGCTAATTAAGTCAAAATGTACATGCCGATGCAGCTTCAATCTACTATAATGGTAGCTAATAGCTCTAAACTATGATACCTGCTAATGTAAGCCTGCTTGAAGTCGGGCCTCATGCTTATGGCTTGTCGGTACAGCTGATCTGCTTCTTCCAGTCTGGACTCATTTGCTCGGATCAGGTTGGCCAGATTGATATAAACATTTAGATGGTTAGGGGCAATTCTGGCTGCATATTTTTTACCAGGAATAATCTGTTTAGAAGAAAGGGCATTCTCATAATTTGATATTTCAGAACCAAATAAAAAAAAAGTAAGTATTCTTACTGGCTTTTAAAAAATAATACAGAACATAAGATTATGCTGACAGTTTTACTACTGTATTACAATAAATTATAAAAATGTGAAAGAAAGCATCCGTAATATTCACAAAATGTAAATAAAATAATATTTTGTGGCACTGAAAGATTTTTTTCATTTATGCCAACTTGATGGACTATTGTTAACTTGTTATTTATATCTATCTTTTTATAAAGTCAGATAAATCAGAACTTTTAGACATCAAGGTCTCTTAGTTTGCATCAGAATAAGAATAGAACCCAGATCTCCTGACTCAGTCCAGTGTACTTTTTATACTATGTCAGCTTTCATGTTGTTAGCAAAATATTTTCTGGTGTGACAATAAGATAGTCAATACTATTTCAGAATGACACTAAAAACTCACTTGTCTAGTTACGAGAAATAAAATGCTCTAATTAACTGATTAGTTATGGCAAGTAAAGGTTATTACATATAACATATGGATCTAAATTTTCAGTGAACACAGTAAATTGTATCTGATAAAAACCTATAACAAATAATTTAACTATAGCATTTTAGGATTGAAATAATCTTTAGGATATCATATGGTCCAACTTTGTTTTTAAAAAATTTATTAAACTACCCAATTGTTACTAATACTGCTAATATTATCAATACCACTATAAGTGAGAAAAGTACAGCCCAATTAAACTATCTTTTCTAATGACACATAACTGGTCAATGGCAGGATCAAATCTTACAACTCTGATACTGTATTGTTATACCCAATAAAACTTGTACTTGTGTCACTACAAAAACTGATGGACACAATAGAGCAACAAAGATGTATCTAATGATTTTATCACTTTTATTTTTTTGATAGGAATAATGTTGAATTTAGTGCCTAATGTACATAAATAAAATCCTCTTCATTTAAAGCTCTTTAACTCACCAATAACTTATAATCAAAAATAGCTAAAATTTATACTTTATGAATTCAGTTTTTACAAATGGAATATAAAAATAATTTCTTAAAAATTAAGTGAGCTAGAAAAGTAAATGTAATTCTTTATAAAACTTGTAGGAATAGATAATTCATTGGACACCTTACTTTTATATCAATAAATTGAAGAAAAGGTGAGGATTTTCCATCTAGATAATTCTGTTCAGTAAGGGCATCTAGTAGACATGACACAATAGATAAAACAACTTACTTGAGGCATCAGTGATTTAGCCATCATGTAAGATTCTTCAGCTTCTTTGGTTTTATTTAAATTTTTATAAGTTCTTCCTACATTCATGTGGGCACCAATATCATCTAAAATTAAAAAAAAATCACTTGGCAAATATGCTAAACAGTATTCAATGTAAACTACTGAGAAGACAAGTTTCTAGAAAAAAACATACTAAGCCAAAAATGCAAATGTAAGCAACAGGTCCTGCCTCCTCCTTAAAGTTCTCCTAACACAACTTGTTAGAACTTATGATCCATGGTACACTGCAAAATTACTTAAAGCACCGTAAGGACAGAAAATACACACGAAATGATAAAAACTACATGAATGGATCTTTGAAGGGTTAAGACATAAGAGAAGAGAAACAGAATAAGTAATGAAGAAATTTACATCACCTCTCTTCCCGATATTCTACTACGCTATGCTAAGGCTTGCACCTATATCCATAATCCTATAGCTTTGGAAGTCACTCAAAATGTATGCCTTAACTTTACAAGAGAAAAGGATCATCGTGATTCCTAGATATGCACTATTGTGGGACAGGGGCAAAGAGACTGTGAAAAAACATTGTAATTAAGTTTTTAAAAATTTTTATAAATGTGGTTAGAGTGAATAAAATGGAATAACGGTATAACAGTATTACTTAAGATGCAGTGGGCTGTCTCTCTTAAATAATAACTTCCTATATAATTTATTTAAAACTGTATAAGAGGTTGTGCTAATATCACAATGTCAGGAACTTATATATCATTTTTGATGTGAAAAATAAAATTTCCAGCAAATTTATTCAGGGGTAGAAAAAAAAATTCAGTTTATAAAAGAAAGATATGAGAACTCATTGCACACCAGTTTTTTGAAAAAGATACACATGCCAATAAATATTTCAAAAGTTTGGAATAAAGATAGAAGGAAGGGAGATGATCTTAAATTAGACAATTTTTACTCAACATAAATTTCTAACAGACATAACAAGTTTTCAAATTATGATTACTACTTGCCTGTGACATCGATGATTTTGCAATTGTGGAATAGTTCTCTGCCTGCAACTCCCAGGACACATAGGGGCCAAGCATATATATCTTGGGAATTCCCCTAGGAGGAGAGTAACAGTCCTAAGGTCTCGCTATATTATATATCAAGTTGGTGATTGTGTGCACTGCACAAAAACTGGCAGATGCAGTACAGGTTTGGTTAGAGAACTGGGAGACAAAATTGGGGGTAAGAAACTTGATTTTTCTTTTTAGATATATTGCTGAGTCTCATGGAGCCAAAAAGGTTTCAAACAAAAAAATGCTTGGGATAGCTATTCACAGTCCTGGCTGCAAAAGAGGATACCTGTGTAGTACTTAAAAATTCAGACATCTTAGCGCCACCCAGCCCTATCCAAAACTGAATCTTCAGAAATGGGATCTGCAAAAACGTGTTTTTAAAGTCTCAAATGCAATTTTGATAGAGCAGGATTGAAAATCACTGTATTATCAAGTGTATATAAAAATATACAGTAGGTAGTCTTTGCTTTTATAAAGCTGATTTTTTTTTTCCACATCAGATAAATCCATACCATTTGTTACAGAGATCAGGAAGTTATTTAGGAAAAACTAAGGATATGTAAAACATGAAACAATTAATTATACAGTAAGAATTTAATCTAAAAACAAAATTTGGATTAAAAAAATGTAATTATGTTAGCTGAGTATTTAAAATGTTACTGAAATCAGTCTCAACCAATCTTAGAAAAGAAACAGGTTATCTACTTATATAAAAGACAAGGCAAATTACTACCCACTAGAATCAGGTTCTTAGAATTATGGCAAAAAGATACTGTCCTCAATGCAGACTTCAGACACTGCAGCAAAGCATCCCTACTTTCTCAAAGAAAAAAGATAGCAGATACCCTTTAGCATTAAAAGGGCTACTCAATACAACCCCCCAAAAATCAAAGACCATTTCTAATCAAGTCTTCGTAAGTTACAAAGTTTTAAGATTCCAGTGGGGTAAATACTATTACTCCTAAGGTAAATTTAAATTTGAAAAATAAGGTAAGAAAAAAAGGCAAAATGCAAAATCAATGACTTTTAAATGACTAAGAAGCCAAAGAGAATTTCAAACAAGCTTGCTCTTTTGAGTACACTATCCAAACCAAGGAACAGCAACATGAGTCAAGCAGTCTGCCTTTAATTCAATGTAAATGAGGACCTCCCAAATCTCAAATGTTCTCTCAATCTGTCAATACCGTTTCTCTTATCAGGGAAATGAGATCAGAAGGGAATTTGCTTATCATCTCACTGCCAAAGCTATCAACTTAGCTGTATGAATGTGTGTGTTTATAATAATAACACACACCTGTGTGCACTTGCACATGCACAGTCTACTTTCCCTCCTACACACCTCTCCTCTCTGATCTAATGCCAACCAATCTACTTATGCATTGGATCACATTCCCTTTCCCCACTTAAGGACTTTGTTCATGGTAGGAGGGTACTTCAAAAAGTTCATGGAAAAATAGAACTAAAAGATCATACAAATCTTTCCATGAACTTTTTGAAGTACCCTAGTATTATCTATTCTGCCTAGGGCTGGCTAGTTAGCTCAGTTGGTTAGAGTACAGTTTTGTAACACCATCTACTTACCTGCAAACCACTATAAAAAAAAAAAAAAAAAAACTTCCTAAAATTCCTAGTAAAAACTAATCTTACCATGTATATTTAATGGGTTCAGACCGCCATACTGGCAGGCCAACAGCAGCAAAAAAAAGTGCAAATCTATCCTGCAATACATCCTCCTAATGCTAAAATCTGTTCTTCCTCTAGCAAATCTCTTTGAAAGAACGGTTTAGATTTATTCTGTTTCTACTTCCTCATTTCCAAGTGAGTCATAGACAGAATCCAGGAGATCTTTGAAAGTGGGAAGGAAAATAAATGCATTTCAATTCTCAGTAACCTCTACTAAAAAGTTAGAATTTCATTCAATTAGAAATACAGGCACCAAATCTCAGTAGTATTAGTAGTACTTTGACTTTTCACAGATTTTTCATATCACATTGCAATTGTTCCAGATACCTTGAAATTTAGTTTACACTTACCACCACTTTGAAATGACAGCAGTTATTAGATACACCACTGGCTCACATGTGATCTTGGTCATGTGTCTATAGACGCACATGTGATGTAGCTGGAAAATAACAGGTAACTGTACATGCCTAATTCTGCTTCAGCCACCAGTCATGTTAAGTATGCTCACACTGATGGCCCAGGCATCTATGTTGTTTTCCGGTATTTCCTATCCACAAAATTATCTGTCAATTTACTTAAAAAGATAAATTTATAAACATCTGAAAACTCCTAAGAACTCTTTAAAAATCATTCCCATCTTGATGGCATCAAAGCTGAAGTACAGATACATCATCCTTTTCTGATATAAACAATTTCAAAGATTTTGACTTAGGTAAAAATGAAATTATTGCTCTTAAGGCAAAAATGCCCTTGAAAAATTCTGGTGTTTCTTGAGAAAAGCCTACCCTTGACTTTTAAAGGTGTTTATTGAAACTATAATTCCATTTGCAAAAATTTTATCTTTGTAAACTGGGTTTTTAAAAAATACTTGTAACCATCAAAAAAATAAGTAAATAAAAATAAATTGGATGCATGTTCCCTGGTCAAAGACCACTATATAGTTTATATTCTTATTCTAGCTAAGCAACAAAAGCCTTTATACTCTTTTCTATCGTTATTGTTTTTTTAAAAAATGAACTTGAAAATGTTATAAATCCCTACAGTATGGGTCCTATGCTGTTATAGGGCTTAAATATCATCTATGTGCTTGTTACTCCACATTTTTATATCTACTCCTGACTACTCTCCTTATCTCAAGATTTATAAATCTATCTTCATGATATCTAACAGGGACAAAAGGGGATTATTGAATCCCCTCACTTGACGTGACTCCACAAAGCAAGACAAAGCATTGTCATTCATCCAGTTTTTCAGGATATGAACCTAAGAGCCATCCTTTATGCCTCACTTTCTCTCATATCCTACATCTAATCCTACATTGGTATATCTTGTCAGCTACAAAAATCTAGAACTTCTTGTGATAAAAACAAAAATCTCATATAGAAAATACAATGGATGGAATTATTGGCAGATTAGACATTGCATAAGAAAACTAATGACTTCCACCAAACTTTTCAGGTAAAAAAATTACATGAATTCTACATAAACTCTTCCAGAAAACTGAAAAGAGAATACTTTTCATGTAATTCTATGGGGCTAGCATTAGCTGATGTCAAAACTAGACAAAGACATTACAAAATAGAAAAATAAGACCAATATCCTACATAAATATAGATGTAAAATTATTAAAAGTATTTTAGCAAATCAAATCAAACAATATATAAGGATAAGACTGCATGATCAAGTGGTGTTTTACTGAAGGAATGTAAGATTGTTTTAACATTATAAAAATCAATGTAATCTACTATATTAACAGACTAAAAATAAAAAACTTATCATCATCTCAATAGATACAGGAAAAGCATTTGACAAAATCCAACATCCATTTGTGATAAAAATTCTCAGCAAAGAATAAGAAAGGGCTCGGGGCTCTCCTATATTGCTGGTGGGAATGTAAATTAAAATACATTCTCTGGAAAACAACTTGGCAGTCTTTTAAAAAGTTAAATATCCACAAATCATATGACCATGCCATTCCCCTCCTAGGTATTTATCCGAGACTGATGAAACATATGTCCATACAGACCAGTACATGAATATTCATAACAGCTTTATCTTGAACAGCCCCAAACTGCAAATAATCCAATTGTCCATCAACAGGTAAATGGATAAAGAAACTGTGGTATATCCACATGATGGAATACTAGCCAGACAAAGGTATGATTTTTTTTTTATGCTTACAATAACATGGTTGAGTATCAAAATAATTGTACAAAGTGAAAAAGCCAGGGGGTGAAAAAAAAAGAACATGGAATATGATTTCATTCACATAAAAAACTAGAAAAAGCAAAGTAATCTACAGTGACAGAAAGCAGATCTAGTTTGCCTGCAGATGGGTGGGGTGAAAAGGAGTGAGAGGAAGGCATTACAAAGGGATCCAAGGAGTTTGGGGGGCTGATAGATATTTTCAATATCTTGACTGTGCTGATGGTCTTACAGTGTATTATACATATGCCAAAACTTATGAATATACTTTATTATGTATTAATTGTACTTCGTGATAGCTATTAAAAACTATAATTTAATTATTCCTTTGCAAAACCTTCTAAATGGTATTCCTGCTTTTCTTCACTATTCTCTGCACAGCCAGTGATCCTAAAAATTAACTTCACCAAAGTGTATTTGCAAGACATGATCTCTCACTTTATTCTCCTCTCTGTCAAATACAAATTTCTCAGGGAGCCTTTCTCTGACCACTGTTTCTAATCTACTCTTATTTTTATTGCTTTCATCATTTTCTTATAAATAAATACACATGAGTGTATATGCATGTAAATATTTTCTGTGCATATATAAAAATGTACACAGTATATATTTATATGTATTTGTTTACTTATTGTCTATACTCTTATTTAGAATGGGAGCTCCATGATGGCAAGAAATTTGTTTTATTCACCACTGGATCTCCAGCACTTAAAACAGTGTCTGAAACAGAAGACAGTGTCTGACACAAGGTATATTTTCAAATAAATGCTCGACGAATAAACAATCCTATAGAGTCATTCAATGACTATTCATTCTCTTTTCTGCCTTCTCCCTGCATCCTACATTTTTTATTTGCCTTCTCCTTCCCTAGTTCCAGTGAAAATATTACTGTTAATACTTACCAGCTCACATTTTTTGAGTATACACTATGTATGGGCTAGAAGCTGGCCTAAGTCTTTGATAACCAGTATTTAATTTAATCCATACAAAAGAATGGCGATATTGTTGTTATTCCAAAAAAAATTTTTTTTGGAAGCTGGCCAGTATGGGGATACAAACCCTTGACCTTGGTGTTATAACACTGTGCTCTAACCAACTGAGCTAACCTGCCAGCCCCTTATTCCAAATTTATAGATAGAAAACTTACGGTGATTGAACTAAATTTGATAAAAGGTCTGTCCGACTCCAGTGTCCAACCTTTTAAGGTACCTGTCTGTATTAGTCCTATACTGGTCACTGTCTGTCCCCATCTGCAATACTTATATCTAGCCCTAATAATCTGAGTCTAGTAAAATAACGTCATTTCATCTGTCAAACCCATCTATGAAGAACACAGTTTTTAAAAAACAAGGAATAAGCCAAGAACCCTCTGAATGCCACATACAATGTTTCTAAATTTATGTACTTTACTCATAATAAATTCTAATAAACTGGTTTACCTGTATTCAAAAACAGCAATTTTGAAAGTGGATAGTGAAGTCATACTGAAGGAGATAGGTTCAGCAAGTTTCTCAAAAATAGCAATAAGTGAAAATTGCCAATGAAGGGAAAATTATTAAAAAACTGACTGCCCATTCCTGCAAAATCCTGTGATAGGCACATATTCACTCAACAAAATTGAAAATGCACACACCCCTGCACACATTTAGTTTTTTACAACAATGCTGTGAGATGGAAATTACTATCCTAATTTAGAAAGGAGAAAGATAAGGCTGAAGTGGCCTGAATAACATCTTTTAAAAGTCTCAAAGCCCTTGTGTGTTTGACATCAAGGACGACTTGGCTTCTCTATAAACTCCTAAAATAAATCTAAAAGATTTTAGAATATAATGAGTTAAAACTACCACATTTAGTGACTGCTATGTATAGGACTCTACTAAATGATTCAGGGGTACAAAGATAAATCAATGTTCGGGCTGCCCCCAGGGGGCTCCACAGTTTAAATAAATATTTTTAATAAATTAGCATTTAAATAAATACAGTATAACACTAAATAGAAAATTACAAATACCACAGGAAAAACAAAAAGGAAGTTGAAGGGGTTTTACAGATAAAAAATATTTGCTTCTAACTGGAAAGATAGAAAGTTTTTTTTTTTTTTTAGAAGAAAAGCCATGTGAAATGGGTTGGGAAGGGAAAAGGGAGAAATTCTAGGGTCAAGGAAGAATAAAAACAAAAGCAAAGGGGTGAGGAAGCACAGGACATGTTCCCCATATTCCAAGAAAAACTAAACTACACGAAGGGATATAGGAGACAAAACTGGAAGGCTTGACCATCAGCTATATTTCTATAACCTTCTCTTCAGCTCTCTCCAATTGAAACTTGGCTTTGTCTTAGAGACATGTTACCCTGGGGCTCTTCCAAGTGGTGACTGTGTTCTTTTTCTCATTCTTTTCAGCATTGGGCCTGGAGGAAAAGCAGGTGTCCTATCTGATCTCTGTTGTCAATTTCAGACAATTCTCACTCCTTGTTAAAATCACTCATCTCTGAATCTCAGGTCAATAAACTATTATCTACTATCTCTCCTTGTTGCAGTTACCAATCCCTGGATCACAGATCCTGGCTCCCTTTTGCTCTCTCCAACATCACATTTGTCAAAATTCTTAGTGATTTAAAAATCCACATAGATTAATTTTCTAATACTGTGGCCTTGGTGTCCTTTCTTCCAATGATTGCTACCTCTCTCCAACCTTAACTAGTTAGTTCAAAGGTCATAGTCATACCCACTAGAAAAAAATGAGTACCTGCCACTCCACATCCCTTAACGTTTTGGTTGTCACTCTGAATGGAAAGTTATAATGGCATTTGGTGGATGGGGACCCACATTTGGTACATACCCTGTAATACAGTTCTGTACACTCAAAATGCCAAAAGCACTCCTATTAAAGAATACTGCTGCTCTTGCTACACCCTATTCAGATAAGAATAATTCTTTAGATCTACAATCCACCAGTCCTGTAATCTTTCCTCCATCCCTTATCCTCTCTCACATCCCTTCTTAACCACCTTAGATTCTTTGTCGCATCATCACAGTCACTCCCTTATCCCTTTCTTGCTTGGTAATACACATTTGACAAAATACTAACCCTGTTTAACTGAATTCTCCATGCTTACACCATCACCATCTCATCCGAAAAGTAGTAGGGAAAAAACATGTAACCACACTAACAGGCTTAATTTTAAATTAAGTATTACTAAATCTCAAGTAGAGTGTCAGAGCTGCCTGGCAATTACACTACATATTCCTAGTCTATACACTTTCCTAGATCTTTGCTTCTCAGAGTATGATCTGTGGACTAAGCATCATCTGGGAGTGTATGTAGAATTTCATGCCCTACTCTCAACCTACACCAGAATATACATTATATCACAAGATCCCCAGGTGATTCACCTGCACATTTTTGTGAAGCAATGTTTTAGATGACTATTTTGTGCCCTCTCCCATTCTTAGATTTCCAATACTTCCTCCCTTTTACTCTCTACTGATGATTTTGCTTTTTTTTCACTGAGAAAACAGAAGCAAACAAAAGACAGCTCCCAGAAGCATCCTCTACGTTGTCTACTCACCTGCCTATAGTCATGTCCATATAATGTGCCTTTCTTGCTACCACAGGTTATCAATTCTATGACTGAATGAAGTCCTCACCCTGTGCACCAGATCCTATCTATTCTCTCCATCTATTTCAAGGACATTGATTCATTAATTCATCACCTCACCTTATGTTACTGCTTTTCCCAACTTTACTAGATTAGTCCCATTACATGCTTTGTTTCTCCCACCATAAAACAAACAACAAAAACAAAACCATATCACCCTACCATCCTCTTTTGACCCTGTACCCAACACCACCACCATTTCTTATCAATACCCTTTAAGTGTTCTATACCAATTGTCTCCAAAATTCTTCCCTTACTCTATTACCTCACTCCTATCAGTGCATCTGTCACTTCACCAAAATTGTTCATCTGTGCCATCCAATAACTATGTGTAAACAAAATTCCTTAAATGTCTGATATAAGTGGCTCTTATATATAAACAAATTCAAAAGAAGCCAGTATGGAACACTAGTATTCAAGTCACTTGGAACAAAACCTGAAAATAAACTCTACCTCTTTTCCCCCAAATATGAGGAGTCTTCAAAAAGCTCATGGAAAGATTTGTATTATCTTTTTTTTTTTCTTTTTGTGGCTGGCCAGTATGGGGATCTGAAACCATTACCTTGGTGTTATAACATGTACTATTTTTCAATTCTGTTTTTCCACAAACTTTTTGAAGTACCCTCATATAATCAAGTTTTTTAAGGAAAGTAAAATGATTCACATCAATTTGTTAAATAATGCTTACCTGGCTGAACGTGGGTAGCCTGTAAAAAGTATTTCAAAGCTCTCTCAAAGTTTTTTTCATTTTCTAGAGCATGACCCACATTATTCCATAATTTGGCATTATTTTTATTTACCTTAAATACAAAGTACAGATAGAAAGAAGTTACAACTAAAAAAAAATGACTACAGTTCACACAATATTTGTTTGGTATACTATTAGGAATGAAATGTTCCATGGAGATGTCCCTAGGGATGAGGAAAGAGCCAAATGAAGGCTGCTTCACCTAATTTCCTCTCCCTTTCCCCACAACAACAACATGTTAAAACCACAGCAGTCTGTTTCATCCTCATATATTAGAATTTTACTAAAAATTTTATTTGATCAAAGCATAGTGCTATTTGAAAACTCCTGCTCTACTATTTGTATTCTCTTAGAAGAGAAGGTATCGGAACATGAGAATATATTTAAACATTGCACTGATGACTTAATTTTTAGGCCTGACATATGTAGGTTTAAACTGTCCTGGGAATGACAGTAAGCAAAATTCCTGAAAATTATGGGGCTCCACTGACATCCCAGGAGTGTAGATTAATTAGCATGGTAATGAGGTCTCATTTGTCCACAGACTTATGAGCTAGGGGAGAGAGTGGAGCTATGGAGTAGTATAAGAGGAAGAGGCGTCCAGTCTTAAGTGGATGTCAACTCAAGGAGTCCCATTGACTACTGGAATGAGGCAGCAATTCAATAAAGCTAGGCAACAGAGAGTAAGGAAATAGCCAAAAGGAAGTAAAAATTTAGAGACCTGAAGAGGTGCATCGGTAAAGAAGGGCCTGAAAAAAAATCTTTGCTGATAACCTTTACAGAAAACAAGTCTGAGTTTTTTAAAACACCTTTTTCTGATTTATGTCGTCCATTCTACAGAAATGCTGTCACTCCTTTCTGCCAGCTCTTACCTTTCCTATAGTATTGTAAACATTGGTTATCTTCTACCCAGTACGGTGCCACTTTTGCTGTGTATTTTATTTCACTGAATCTAAAATGCCATCAGTTATAGACTCACCATTATTTTATGTACTATTAAAGAAAAAAGGTCATTAATTTAAGTGCCTTTCACTGTAAGACTTATTCTGATTTCAGAGATATTAAAAGGTTAAAAAAAAGTGCATCTTCAGAACCAATAAAATATAGTACTCTGATTTAAACATTTTATCATTTGAGCTTCTAACAACTGTATAACATTTAGGGAATTATTCAAACATGCCTTGGACATTTAGCTAAGTACTATTCAGAACATCTGGTTATGGCATATATTATATAAAGAACATATTATTTTCATTAATCTTTTGATGAAGTACTTAATATTGACAGATAAATGTCAGTTAGAAGTAAAATTAAAACACCTTTGGCTATAAGAAATCATTGATAACATACTTTCTTGTCACTTTGAACAATACTTTACCTTCAAGGCAGACATAAACAATGTATATTCAGACTCCCAATCCCAATTTCTGTGGAGTGTTTTTAAGGCATGAGTAAGTACCACCATAGAAAGACAAACCCAGGATAGCTTTTTTAATACACTGTTGAGAGAAAAAAAGCAAAACAAAAAGACACTGTCTATATGATCAAAAGCATTTTACCTTTTATAGGAGGTAAGAAATACGTTAAATGTTCATAAATAGCATGTTTGAATTTATTCTAATTCACTCTAATCATCATCTAACTTTAGAGGGAACACCACCAAAAAAATTTAAATATTATGAGTATGATTTTCCAATCCAGTCTTCAATTACATTACATATCTAATATTTGCCTCTACTTTGTTTAGATTAAATGACAATAAAGCTTTGTTTAGATTAAATAACAAAAATTGATAAAACCAGTTTTTAATTGGACTTTTTACATCTAAAGTCCTTTCTGCCATTACCTATAACTTGAGTATTCTTAACTGAGTTTATAAAAGGTCGATCTTATTACTGACTATATTTAAAAATGATTTTGCTTACAATTTATACCATTGACTATCAGGACATTCTTGTAATAATTTTGCACTTTAAAGTTAAAGGCATAGTAAAATTAAGTCTTCATAAAATAGATGTAAATTATTCATATAACTTTAGGCTATTTGAGACTCAATTTTTCACTTACAAAAAGATCGTTATATTTCAATAATCTCAATGATCTCATTTAGTACTAACATTCTCTGAGTCTGTGTTTTTGCTCCTATAACATGGATTAATTTCTTTCATTTTGATAGATCCACTTAACTGGAACAATAGAGTATGGATCAGAAAGAACATGGTCATCGGAAGCAGTCAGACATAAATCTGAATTAAGATTTTGCTGTTTACTAGCTCTGTGATCTTAGATAGCATGTATGAGCTCCAATTTTTACATCTGCAAAATAAAGTTAGTGAGTGTTAAGATGAAATGAGAAAACAAATCTAAAGGTTCTTTCATCATGGCCATTGGCACATGGTAGGCACTCAAAAATTGGTAGTGATTATCATTAAATATATGGATAGAAGCTAAAAGAAAAAGATTGGTAGATGGCAGTGAAAATTGTAGACACGGATGAGATAATCTACCAAGCATATGCAGTGTGAGAGAAGTGACTATGAATAAAACTCAGAAATACAAATATTTGTTGGAGCAGGTATAGCAGGAAAAATCTGAGCAGAAATAAACAGATATGGAAGAGAACCAGGTGAGAGACTTTTACAGACACCAAGGAAATAAATTTTAAATTAAAGTGTTGACTGGGTTTAGCTACTAGGAGGCAATTTGTTACACATGTGTTAGTGTAGTGATGTAGAAAGAAATCAGAATTCAGTGGGTTGAGGGATGACTGGAAAATGAGAAAATGAGAAAAATGACCACTTCTTTTTCAAGTTGCAAATCTAAATTTAATATTATATATTAGAGTTATTTGACCATTAACAATTACCTTGATTTAGTAATTTTAGTGCCACAGAATATGTATGCAATAAGATAATACCTATTACAATTAAAGTTTCTAAGCATACACATTGTGACTGTTCTGTTCCTTAACTGTCAGATTAAAGCAAGTAGGACATGAAGATTATGATAAAGACAGTGAAGATATCAAGAAATTCCAGTTTTTTACTATACGCATTTTACTTATATTAACTTAATACAACTCACTTAAGTAGGACGACTATATCTTAGCTCATTGCATATGGAAGTGATAATGGTCATTTGTGACTTTAGTCTCAATAATATCCTTGTTTTCATTTGGGTCTGACTCAAAGTTTGTTCGCCTATAAAATAAAATTATATAAATATGGGAAAGAAGACAAGATAAGTAGGAATTATGGAGTTTTCTTAACCAGAATTATAGAGGAAAATATAAATGAGGAAGTATTGAGATGAAGAATTAAAAGATATAAAAGTATAACTTATTAAGCTGAACTAAATACATATTTAAAATATTTGAATGTATCACATTTAACTGTATAGGTAATAAGCACTAAATAAACTAACACTTTAATTCACCTTTTGTTTGATATTTTCTGCCACCCATGGGCTATCAAAATACAGAACCCCATGCTGGGAACATACAATACTCGCTCAGCAACAACAAATCCAACTGGAAAAAAAAGGTTTGATGCAGGAATGAACGGTAATGCCATTAAACAAAGCGCCTAGAAAAAAAAAAAAAGATAGTTCGTTGAATTAGAAAATATGTGGACACTCAAAACTCAAATCTAAATATTTTAAAATTTAATTTGGATAATGTATTGGGAGACAACTTTTAATAGTACTGTGAAGAAAACTAATTTAAACATAAAGAAGGTAATTTAGGGATGTTAATAACAAACAATAGGATGCATATCAACAAGGTGAGATGAAAGTCTTTGTGAATTCTAGAACTTATAATTATAGGATATCTATGGGATTTCTTTGAGAACAAGATTCTTAAGTATGCTTAGGAATGATTTCTTCTTGAAATTAAAATTTGAACCATTACAGCATTTTAAATTTGAAAAGCATAATTAGCCATACTTGACTGGTTTTCTATGAGGAATGAAATGTGCTTGCATGGTAAAATATAAAAACTTTAATTAATAAAGGTAAATATTTACATCTTTTAGCAAAAATTTAATAATAAAGGTTTATCCAGTTAAACAAAAAAGTAGAAATGTTTTTTGAAAATATATTTAAAATAACACACTCAAACAACTCAATAGTAAGAAAACAAATAATCCAATTAAAAAATGAGTAAAGGATCTGAATAGGTACTTCTCAAAAGAAGACATACAAATGACCAGCAGGTATACGAAAAAATGTTCAAAATCACTAATCATAAGGAAAATACATACACATTAAAACCACAATATGAGATATCACTTCACATCTGTCAGAATGGCTATTAACAAAAAGACAAAAGATAACAAGTGTTGACAAGGATGTGGAAAAAAGGGTTGATGCACACTGTTGGTGGAAATGTAAATTAGTACAGCCATTATGGAAAATAGTACGGAGATTCCTTAAAAAAAGTAAAAAATAGAACTACCATTCCAAGTATATCCAAAGAAAATGGAAATCGGCATGTCAAAGAGTTATCTGTACTCCCACATTCACTGCATCATTATTCATAATAGCCAAGATATGGAATCAACTTAACTGTCCATCAACAGATGAATGGATAAAGAAAATGTGGTATATATACACAATGGAATACTACTCAGCCGTAAAAAAAAAAAAAAGGAAATCCTGTCATTTGCAACATCATGGATAAACCTAAAGGACCTTATGTTAAATAAAATAAGCTATGCACAGAAAGGCAAATACTGCATGATCTCACTTATATGAGGGATCTAAAATACCCAATCTCATAGAAGCGAAAAATAGAATGATGGTTACCAAGTGCTTCAGGGAAAAGAAAGAGTTGGGGAGATGCTAGTAAAAGGATATAAAATTTCAGTTAGGAGGAATAAAACAAATTAAAAAATAAATTTTTTACACATCTAACATGCATATGGTAAAAATAAATTGACAGAGAAAGACGTTAATAGGTTTTTCAACAAAACAAAACTATAAAGATTGATAAAACAGCCAAACAGGTCAGTTTTTATAGGCTAAGTACAATAAGAAACCACACAATATTGGAAATTGAAGGAACGAAGAAAGATGTGGTTCAGACAAGATGACTGCCTTTGTACCCTGGCATTACTTTGCATAATATTCTGAATAGTTCACATATATTTAATTAGAGGCTTAAAATGTATAAAAATAAAAATGCTCCTTTTAAATCAATAGTCTTTTTTTCCATAAGAATTTCTAAAATTGGGAGATGTCATCAAGATGGCAGAATAGACAGTCCCCAGATTCACTCTACCCTATAAAAGACCAATTTACAACTATTAAAAAGCAAAGACTGCCAACCTGGGACTACTGGAGTTCAGGGGAAGAGGAGGAGAGACCCGCAGAGCTCACAAAGGCAGGAGAAGCCATGGCTAGAGGAAGAAGAAACCACTTCGACCTTTTCAAGCTTTGGATGTGTCAGGGCTACCCCTGAGAGGCAGGAATAAGCTGCAATACAGGGAGGAAGAGCCCGCAAAAAACACAGCCAAGCCCTTCACATGAAGTTGCCTGGAGTCTACAGGGGAGAAGAGGATGTTGGAATGCACCCTACCAGCCCCCAGCCAATGAGACCACTCACAGGGTTCCCACGCACCCACATAAGAGCGAGGGTTGCAGCTGACTGAAGGAACCACCTGGAGGCCATGAGTCATCACAAGGAACCCAAGCATGGACCTGCCGGCAGGGGTGAAGGGGACATTGGAGTACTGCGTGGATAGCCGATGTGATTTCCAACAAGTACAGGCCCACTTGGTGGAAACTGGTCAGGGCAAAAGAACTACAGGGGGTGGTTTGCTAGAAAGACTCAGTCCTAGGCCAGAATTTCCACACAGCCCAGGTGTAACTGACCTCAAAAGACATGGGAGTGATTAAAAGGCAAACAATTAAAATCTGGTATGCACAAAAAGCCTTTTCCAGACAATCAGCAGCAAAGCAGCAATTTAGCGCAACCACAGATCTCAAGTTCTGGTTCCTAGAGGAAATTCCTCCAATTTTGGAATTAATCAAAACTGCAGAACACAGACAAAGCTCTGATATTAATCAGTAAAGGTCTAACCCTACCAAAGAATACGTATAAAACCTAGGAGAGTTAACAATCTCTTCAAATGTCTAGACATCAACGTAAAGACACAAAGACTGAGAAAGAACAGAGAAATAAGACACCAACAATGGACCCAAATAAACAGCGGATTTATGAAATGTCTGACAGAGAATTCAGAATAACCCCCTTAGGGATGTTCAGGGAATCACAAGAAAATACAGACAGAAAATTAAATGGTATCTGGAAAACCATATGGTATCTGAAAATCCAGGAGCAGAATGAGAAACTTGATGAAGAAACTGAATCAATTAAAAAAAACCCCCAAAACAAATAGGAATTCTAGAAATAAAAAGTACACTACCTGAACTGCAAAACTTGATGTAGAAAGAACAAAAAGCAGACTTAATCACACTAAGGAAAGAATTAGTGAGCTCTGAAGGTAGAACATATGAAATTATCATGTCAGAGGAGCAAAAAGAAACAAAGAATAAGAAAAAATGAGACAGAAAAACAGCAAATATGGAACATCTTCAAATGAAATGACCTCCACTTAATTGGCATACCTGAAGAAGAAAAAGAAAGAGATGTAGAAAGCATATTTAAGGACATAATGGCTGAAAATTTCCAAAGTATGGAGAAAGATGACAGCATCCAGGAAGCTCAGAGGTTGCCCCTCAAATTGAATCCAAAGAGGAACACCCAAAGGTATATTATAATCAAATTATCAAAAACCAGAGAGAAAAAAAGAATATGGAAAGTGGCAAGAGTAAAGAAATACATAACATTCAACGTAGCCCAAATATGTCACTAAGTGGATTTCTCAGCAGAAACCCTACAGGACAGAAGAGAATGGGACAATATATTCAGGATGCTGAAGAAAAAGGACTGTCAGCCAAGAATTCTCTATCCAGCAAAATTAACCTTCAAATAAAGTCTTTTCCAGACAAACAAAAGCTAAGGGAATTCATGAATACCAGACCTGCAATACAAGAAATGCTAAAAGGAGCTCTTTAATCTGAAAAAAGATGAAGCTAAGGAGCAGCAAGAAAACATTTGAAGGTACAGAATTCATTAGGAAAGTTCACAGAAAACCTCAGAATACTCCAATGTTTTAAGGGTGGTGAATAAACCACTTAATCCTTAGTATGAAGACTAAAGCACAAACCTAACAAGACACTAACATATACAATAACCATGTAAAAGACAGGCAATATTGAAAGATATACCTTGAAACAACAAATTGTCAAAAAGTGAGGGGTGAAAGACACCAAAGCAGAGTTGGCTTTGATTTTTTTCTATTTTCTTAGATACCAAAGTTGTTATTAGTCTAAAATAATCTGTTATAACATGTTTTTGTAAGCCTCACGGTAACCATAACATAAAAATATATAAGAAACATAGTAAAAGTATATAGCAAGAAATCAAAATACACTGCTAGAAAACACCATCAATCACAAAGGAAGACAATAAGATTGGAAAAAGGGAAAAATGATGAATGACACAACCAGAATAAAAGGAACAAAACGGCAGTAACAAGTCCCAAAATGTCAATAATTCTAAATGTAAATGGATTAAATGCCCCAATTAAAAGACACAGAGTGGCTCAATGGATTATGAAACAAGAACCAACAATATGTAGCCAATAAGAAACTCACTTCACTTATAAAGACACACACTGCCTGAAAGTGAAGGGATGGAAAAAGTTATTTCATGCAAATGGAAACCAAGAAAGAGCAGGAGTAGCTATACTTATATCAGATAAAATAGACTTCAAGCAAAGCAAAAAAAAAAAAAAAAAAAAAAAAAAAAGATAAGGAAGGTCAAGTAAAGTAAGAAAAGATAAGGAAGGTCATTATATAATGATAAAGGGACCAATTCAACAAGAGGCTATAACAATTCTAAATATATATGCACCTGACTTCAGAGCACACAGTTATATAAAGCAAATACTACTAGATCTAATCGAAGAAATTGACTCAAACACAATAATAATTAAGGACTTTAATATCCCACTTTCAGCAAAGGACAGATGTTCCAGACAGAAAAGTAACCAGGAAACATCAGAATTAATCTCTACTAGAGGTTGATTGTACCTAATGGACATATACAGAACATTTCAACCGACAGCTATTCTTCTCAGCAGCACATGGCACAGTCTCTAGAACAGACCATATGTTAGGTAACAAAATAATTCTCAACAAATTTTAAAGAACTGAAATCATATCAACTACCTTGTCTGACCACAATGGAATTAAACTAGAAATCAATAACAAAAGGGACATTAGAAACTGTACGAATACATGGAAATTAAATACCATGCTCCTAAACAATGAGTGGGTGAAAGAAGAAATCAAAAAAGAAACTAAAAAATTTCTGGAGACAAATGAAAATGACAACATATCATACAACAAAACACAACATATCAGAACCTATGGGATACAGCAAAAGTAGTTTAAAGAGGGAACTTTTTAGCAATAAAAGTCTATATTGAAAGAGAAAAAAGACTTCAAATCACCC